TTAACTTTTTGAGCTACTCGCTTGTGTCGCTTGGGTAGCCCCCCATAGGGGGCCGTGCCCTTAAAAAAAACACGGATACCACACCGCCAAATTCCCCATCTTTTTCCTTCGGGTACGAGTTGCCGCCCACTATTAGCAGACTTCCTAAATCTTCCACCTCCACGATCCGACCTTCTTCCTCTGTGAGCAGTGGTCCATATCTCTTCTCGCGAAATCGCACCGCGCGGCCGGAGATAGGTAACGACTTAATCTGATCACTGGGTCTTGCACCCACAGCGAGAGTCGCTCTGTTCCTCGGATCCCGAGGCTCCACTGTCTCAATCATTACCCGCGTCCCGTCTGGTTTCCTAATGGACAATGTTTGGTTCCCATCAGGTCGCTCTATTGTCACCGCATGCACGTGGCTCAGCCACGTTCGTCCCAAGAGCAGGTCGGAGCTGCAGTTCTTAACTGCAAAGACAGGCAGGGTCACTTTACCCCTTGCACCTCTATGGCTGCCTCGTGACAAACCCCAGTGATCTGTTGCTTTCTCCCATCAGCCGTCTCTATCTCGAATAGGTATGACCTATCGAGGCCCAGTCCAACTTATACTGCCAAGTCCTCGTCTATGATGACAGCCTCACTGTCGTTATGAATCACAGCATCGAGTATCGCTCCATCGTTTATAATCGTCTCCACGGCCCCGCTACCAAGTATATAAAACTTGTCTGGAGACAGACCTTCCATCCCATCGAGAAGGACTGTCGCCATGCGATCCGCTCTGGCAGTCACCCCCGTTACCGCTACTGTAGAAGCTTCCGCTTTAGGGGCCCCCTGACCCTCCTCTGATAGAGGTATGCGAGTCCTCCGCGTGATCATCTGTAATTCATCACGAGCCGGCTTCGATGCCGCCAGGTACTCCAGAATAGAACACTGCATTGGTTGCCGAAGGGTCCGCCTCAGTGGCTCAACCGTATCAATCTCGTCCAGCGAATTCTTCATTAAGAACTTCTTCACTCCCCTCTTTCGCGGCGAAAGGATAACCTCCTCTCCATCGACCCGCTGCCCGTCCTTCTCCGTCATCACGTAATCCGTGTCAGTCTTCTTTGATGTAGACCCTCTTGCCGACTTGGTGGCTGCCACCCTTATGGGTGTGGTCGCGATATCCCTCTCAACGGTTATCTTGATGCTCTGGCTCCTGACCGGCTTCATCAAAGAAACATCGATACATCTCCCAGATCATCTGCCCACTTGACGTACTTGCGGTCGTCAAGCACGACAAGTCCATCATCTATTGTCCGTTTGAGGTCCCGGCAATCCCTCTTGATATGATCTTCTCCGCTACAGTAGACGCATGAGTTCTTGGGAGTAGATGGCCTGTCGTCTGCGCCTCTAGAGATCGAACTCCTGGCCGCCTTGGGGTCAGGCGACTTAGGATATGGTTCTGATGAGACGTCATATCCCCCTCTCTCATTCCGTCCGCGCGAATCGTTGCGCCGGTCTCCTCCAGACCCTCCTTGCTCATACCGCCCTCGCGAATCATTCTGGCGGTCCCCCGAGTCATATCGTCCTCGTGTCTCATCGCGTCGGTCCCCTCAGTTGTACCATCCCCGCGACTCGTCGCACTGCTCTCTCGCATCTCCCCCGCGCTCAAACCGTCCGCGTGACCCATCTTGTCGTTCCCACCGATCTCCTCTCTCATATCTACTTCCTCTGTAGCCATCTCGACCCGGCCTCTCGTATCTGTCGTCCCTATATYCATCTCGGTCCGATCTSTCGTATCTGTCGTCCCTATATCCATCTCGTCGGCCCTGTTCTGTCTCCCATCGGCCGCGGGAGTCGCCTCTACCCCGATCGGCCTCATAGCGAGGGCTTCGCGGGTAATCATCTAGCCTCCTTGCTCGCACAAACAGCTCTCGTTCTCTGCGGTCTCGGTCTATCTTATCGTCCCTACGTCGCCATGATTCATCGTCCCTCTCTCTTCCCCTCGTACGATAATCAGTCAGCGTCCGAGGATTTCTATCCTCGACACTCCTCCAGGGATCGTTGTTCCTACGGTCCCAGCGAAGTGAATAGGGCCCTCCAGGTTTGTCCCGGTAGGCCGTGACCCCTGTAGCGGTCACAATCTCTGTAACCTGTCTCGTTAATCCCTTCACCATGTCCCGTATCTCCTTCACTTCCTCAGCCACGGCCTCATTCTTTTCCGACCAGGGATAATCCTTGAAATCAGGACATCTATCAGTGGCATACTCCTTGTAGAGAGAGAAGTCACGTCTCCTCATCCCTYTCCACACCAAGTCCTTGTAATCGTGTGCCTCTGCCTTTATCGCGAGCTTTAGGACTTCTGAGAAATCAAGCCTGTTGTGCGGAAGATCCCTAAGTATACTCTTTTGCCTACCTTTGGACAAGTGTCCGATGAAGATAGTACAGCGCTCGACCTCTGAGATCTTCCCCTTCTTCATCAGCACGTCGGAGATCTTTTGAAAACGCATCCCAAATGCCCGTACGCTCTCATCTTCATCTTGAGTCATTGTTTCAAGGTCCTTGATGAAATACTTGTTATCCTCCAATTTGTAAAGCTCAACGAGGTTCTCCTTGTACGTTATCCATTTCCCATCCTTCGGTCGAGCTTCCTTAACTTCCCTACCAAGACTTGGGTTCACATTAAATAGGAAGTTCTCTATAATCTCTTCCTCCGACCACT